ACTACTAAGAAAAAAGGCGGGAACTACTCAATGAAGTGAAGATTAATTTTTTTATATACTTTTTTTCAGCCTGAAACTGCATTCGTAGAAAAAAAAACAATGATAATAACTGCATTTCATAAGCTACGATAATAAACCCTGGCAATTAAGGTTAGAAAACTTCAAAATACATGAGACAGGCTGATGTATAATTACATGCAAATTTATATACATCCATTCTCGTCTGTATAGATACTTTTCCCCTAAACAGACGCTAGCATGCAAACACTGGATCACGAATGGAATAGAATCGGATTCTCTTAAAAGTTTCGAACGCTTAGGATCCGAATGCACCGATTCTCATTTTTTTTATAACGGTCTGCAGAAACGCTGTTTTTTTCTTTTCTTTTTTTTTATGAATAATGCCGGGTCCGTTAATGCTATCATTAAACTGTACTAAAGGTATTAATGAAAATTAATATTTTTCAAACCCAATAGATGTAGCGGATGTGTTTCGATCTTTATCCTCAAATCTCTTAGTATTCAATTTTCTTCCTACATTAGCTACAATGGATCTTCAGTTTTAAAACTCTCTGAAACTATTTCAAATTTCAAATAAAGGATATCGATTCAGTGTTTATGTATCCATAATACATTTATCTTCACCAGTCCTTACTTCGTCACTCGAAGCTAAAAATACATGCTTTCGAACACGCGACACATTCACTCGTTAATGTGATGCAGTTGGCGTATTTCTAAAAAAAAAAAAAATAATAATAAAAAAAATGCAATAATAATGGTTAAAGATGATAATAATAGTAAAAATAATGATAATAGTGATAATAATAAGAATAAAGAATAATAAGATAATAACTGCAATAACAATATTTTCAGTGTTTATTACAATGATGCTGATAAACATTTATATTAATGATCACTCGACTATAAATGCTTTGTAACACGGCAAACTTGTGCTGCAAATTAATCCTTTGTTCACCAGAAAGAATGGTTCATGTTATCCTATATGAAGTAATGTTACCATGTCTGGATTAATGAAATTCAGACATATTTGGATTCATGTATATATATTACATATTAATATATATGCATATACGTACATACATATATAATACATACATACATATATGTATTGTCATTTTTTTGTCTTTTGTTTTTTTTAAGGGGAGTTCAGATTATTTGGTAAAATATCTTGGATAGAATATTTTCAGTATGATCGCGTGATCAGATATCCCTTTGTAAGCAAGTTTTATGTATTTGTTTTGTACTAATAACATCATTAAAATGTATTTCAATCTTTCCAAAATACAGCGAATGTTGGTGATAAAAAGCGACCCTTTCCTTTTGTTTTTTTTCTGTTGGAAAAGAAAATCACCCTTGGCTATTTAATAATAATTCCATCCACAGCCTTTCTTTAACACTCAAATATTGTTTTAAAAATTCCCCCTCACTCCATACGCCCTCATTAGCACATGAGGCTATTTATTGCTTCATCGAATCATGAATCGAATCATTTTATAGTTAATAAACCAGTTGAGATGAAGATCAGTTCTAGGATCCCTCTTCGCCTTCGTCACCTCCGCTATCGCCATTATCTCCTGTGTCGACTTTCGTAAACACAACGACCTTCGCAAGATGGCTTACACAACGGAGATAACAGGAATACCCTCTATAATAATAAAAAAAGGAATGAAATATCTAAAAAAAAAACATGCACACTTTTGCTACCCGTATATTCTTCCCTACCATAATAAGCTCTCTTGCTATCGGGGTGATGAAGTGACAGCGAGAGACATGACAAGAAGGGAAAAAAAAAAAAATCGAGACAAAAAAACAAAAACAAAAAATGCACAGCGCTCGTATCCCCTAAGATTTGGATGTCGATTCGAGCGCCTTCCTCCTCGCGTAATCGTTAGCCTCCTTTTTAATAGCCACCATCTTGTCCAGATTGGTGAAGATGCTGTTCAGCACCTGGAGGAAGAGCCGGTCGCTGTAGTAGGTGCACGTGGGTAGGAATCCCTCCATGAAACCAATATGGCCGCCTCTCGCCGTCACGATGAGGGCCACGTGACTTGACCTCTTCGCCGCTTCCACTGGGACACCTTGGCGACGACGTGAAAGGAAAAAGGAAATTTTTAGAGAAGCCGAGAGGAAAATTGGCGACGACGTGAAAGGAAAAAAGAAAGTTTTAGAGAAGCCGTGAGGAAAATCGGCCGAAAATAGGTGCTTGCATGCCTAACCTAAAGTTTATTCTATTATGGTCGGGACAAAAAATATTATACTTCCCCATTAGTACTTATTAGTATTAGTATTAGTACTTATTTATCTATCTTCAGATGAATGGCATAAACTGACAGTTACTTCATGAATAACACAGCAAACTATCTCAAGAAATCTCAGTGTGGCTTGCTTACTCGAAAAAAACAAATCACACAGAAAAATAAATCCAATGAAGTAAAAAAAATACAATGAAAAAATCCAAAACAACAACAAAATATCTTCCAGAGAGACACACAAACTCTCTTTTATTTTCTTCAATCTTCCAGACACAAACTTTCTTTTTTCTTTAATCTTCCAGAAACAAACATTTTCTTTCTTCAATCTTCCAGCGAATCCGGCAACCCACCTTCCATCGGCTGGAACGGGTCATCAGCTGCGTTCAGACAAAGGAGAGGAACCCGGATGTCGTCGAGCTTCTCGTGGAGGGAGGAGGTCTTGTAGTAGTCTTCGGCGTCACGAAAACCGAACTGCATGGCGGTAAAGCGGGAATCGAACTCGCGGAAGCTCTTGCTCTGAAAAACGCCAAGGGGGAGTTAAAATCTTTTTCCTTTTTATTTCTCTTTCTTCTGAGGCAATTGTTGTGATTGGAGTATTATATCTTTTCCATTAATTTCTCTTTCTTCCGAGGAAATGGAGCTCAAGGGTCTCTTTCTTCTGAGGGAATGCAGCTCATTGTTGTGATTGGAGTATTATATCTTTTCCATTAATTTCTCTTTCTTCCGAGGAAATGGAGCTCATGAAGCTCATTGCTGTGAGTGTGGTATTAGAATGTGTGTTTTTATCAATATTTGCTTCTTTCTTAGATGTGGATATGGACTCCCTGTTGTGATTGGAGTGTTAGTATCTGTGTTTTATCAATATTTCCAATTTTTTTATGTCTGTATGGAGAAGTTTGTTAAAAATACAATTCATGGTATATCCAATTTTCGACATAGAGAAAAAATGTATCTTAGCCCTATATAGCACATAAGGGTTAATCACCTTCATGACATGCCCTATATAGCACATAAGGGTTAATCACCTTCATTGCACACATAAACAGGTCTCTTAACACTATATAAGACATAAGGGTTAATCATATTCACCTTCATGACATGATCATAATTCCATTTGTGATCGCCTGCTAACTGATAACTCATGCTGCTCACTAAGCCGCAAAGACATGCCACAAGGTACCTGCAAATCACGAATAAAAAATGTATAATCATTTATACTGTTCATAGTTTTGTGGGGATTAAATTTAGAACTAAATTTAATTAACAGTTATGGCAGAGTTAATAACTAAATCAAATTAACAGTTTAACAGATTAAATTTAGAACTGTTAATATCAATTCACGTTCCTAGCTGTACGATAACATGAATTCCTTATTAATCAAAGTAAATATCGGGATTCTGATACAAACGTAGTCGTAGCGAATTAACAACCCATGAACCACCTAAGCTCACCTTTGATTACAATGAAACAAGCGCTCACCTATTTAATAGCAGGTTACAGAGTGGCCTCTCCATACTCTTCACGCCCAACTGCATGTTCCAGGGCGTTGAGAATACCACCGCTGCCACCAGATACTCGCCAGCCTGCTCTCCCCGCGTCGTGAGGAAGTTCCCTATGATCGACCTGCGAGAGTTGGCAAGGTTGTGGGAATATCAGAACAAGAATAATGATGAATGATGATGAATAATGTGGAACATAGGAAGAAAGAATAAGAATAATATAAATAATGTGGAACATAGAAAGAAAGAGAATAATGTGGAACAGAGAAAGAAAGTGAAGAAGGAGAGGAGCAGTGGCAGAAGGAAACATTGTTGACCTGCGAGGGGGGATATGAGAACAGGCAGAATAACGTAGAAAAGAGAAAGAAAGGAAGGGCAGCAGGAGTGGTGAAGAGGATGAGGAGCAGTGGCAGAAGAAAAGAGAAAGAAAGGAAAAGGAGAAGGGGCAGTGAAGAGGATGAGGAGCAGTGGCAGAAGAAAAGAGAAAGAAAGGAAAAGGAGAAGGGGCAGTGAAGAGGATGTAGAGCAGTGGCAGAAGGAAACATCGTCGACCTGCGAGAGATGGCAAGGTAGCGGGAGTATGAGAACAAGCAGAACAACGTAGAAAAGAGAAAGGAATATGAATGAAGAGGAAGAGGAGCAGTGGCAGAAGGAAACATTGCTTGAGAAAGGGAATGGATAGTGCTGTTAATAAGTAAATATTTAAGAGTGATTTAGATGATATAAAGATAAATACAAGTCTGAGAGAAATGTCACCTAAATACAAAGCAGAGGAGTAAATGCAAAAAGAATTCATATATTCCCACTAGTGAAGAAATGCCTAAGACAAACACAGAATAAACAGCGTAGCAAGGAAATATGTGAGATTTAATAGAACAATAATATACATTTGTCGAGATTTTACAAAAAAAAGTACGACAATATCATAGAAAATGTATCTAAGGAGAAAAAATAAAACAAAGCTGCTTTAACAGAAAATTAGCAGTAATGAAAGTTAAACAGTGCATATAAGGAATGGAAATAAAATCCACTTCATGAACAGACAAAAAGATAAAATCATAATGCCGAAAAGAAACGAAGGAAGAGCTAAAATGCTAAAAATAAAATCAAATAAATCAAATTCCATTCGATATGACAAATGAAACGAGAACACGGAAGACATTTGTCTCTTAAATTCCTCTCTTTACTATTTTTGTCCACATCCTTTAACGTATTTGCTCATTTATCAAGTACTATTTTTGTTTACAATATATTTGTCCATTTATCTACACATCAATTACTACATATCCATACCCTTCAGACACTGCACAGGACACAAACACACGTGCGCGCGGTATGTACAACTAACATTATCACATTTTTTTTTTTTTTGTCTCAGAACTGCATCGGAAGCCAAAGTCCGATTCTGTTGCTATCATGGCCACAGCTATATATCACGTGATTGCTGTGGTATGCGATCGCGTTTTTATCAAGTGGCATTTTCCATCACTTTAGAGTGTAAACAAATACTGTTATAAGGAACTCTGTGGAGAGAATGTGTCACGTGTTTACTTGTGAAGCGTCCTGTGGGATGTGAATATGTAGTTCTCACTATCTATCTATCTGTCTATTTATCTCTTTCTCTCTCTGTCTCTCTCTTTCTCTCTCTGTCTGTCTGTCTGTCTCTCTCTCCTCTCTCTCTCTCTCTCTCTCTCTCTCTCTCTCTCTCTCTCTCTCTCTCTCTCTCTCATCTCATCTCTCTCTTCTCTCTCTCTCTCTCTCTCTCCTTCTTCCCCCTCTCTCTCTCCCTCTCTCCTTCCCCTCTCTCTCTCCTCTCCTCCCCCTCTCTCTCTCTCCTCCCCCTCTCTCTCTCCTCCTTCCTCTCTCTTCTCTCCCTCTCCTTCCCTCTCTTCTCCTCTCCTCTCCCTCTCTCTCCCTCTCTCCCCTCTCTCTCTCCCTCTCCTTCCCCCCCTCTCTCTCCCTCTCCTTCCCCCTCTCTCTCTCCCTCTCCTTCCCTCTCTCTTCTCCCCTCCCCCTCTTTCTCTCTCCCTCTCCTTCCCCTCTCTCTCTCCTCTCCTTCCCTCTCCCTCTCTCCTTCCTCTCCCTCTCTCTCTCCTCCCCCTCTCTCTCCTCTCTCTCTCTCCCTCCCTCTCCTCTCTCCTCCTCACTCCTCTCTCTTTCTCTCTCTCTCCTCTCTCTTCTCTCTCATCCTCTCTCTTCTCTCTTCTCTTCTTCTCTCCCACTCTTTCTCTCTCTCTCTTCTCCCTCGTCTCTCCTCTCTCTCTCTTCTCTCTTCTTTCCCCATCTCTCTCTCTCTTTCTTTCCCCACTCTCTCTCTCTCTCTCTTTCCCATCTCTCTCTCTCTCTCTTCCCCCATCTCTTCTCCTCTCTCTCCCCCATCTCTCTCTTCTCTCTCTTTCCCCATCTCTCTTCTCTCTCTTCCCTCTCTCTCTCTCATTCCTCTCCTCATCTCTCTCTCTCTCTCTTCATCTCTTCTCTCTCCTCTCTCTCTTCCCCATCTCTCTCTCTCATCTCTCTCTCCCTCCCTCTCTCCTTCCCTCTCTCCTCCTCTCTCCCACCCTCTCTCCTCCCACTCTCTTTCTCTCTCTCCTTCCCTCTCCTTTCTCTCTCTCTCTCTCCCCATCTCTCTCTCTTCTCTCTCTTTTCTCCCCATCTCTCTCTCTCGTCTCTTTCCCTCTTCCCTTCTCTCTTCTTCTCTCTCTCTCTCTCTCTTCCCCATCTCTCCTCTCCTCTTTCTCTTCCCCATCTCTCTCTCTCTCTCTCTCTTTCCCCATCTCTCTCTCTCTCTCTCTCTCTTTCTCCTCTCCTTCTCTCTCTTCTCTTCTCTCTCTTCTCTCTCCTTTCTCCTTTATCTTCTCTCTCTCCTTCTTCTCTCTCCTCCTCTCTTCTCTGCTCTTCGTCTCTCTCTCTCTCACCCTCATCTCTCCTCTCTCTCTCTCTCGCCATCTCTCTCTCTCTCTCTCTCTCTCCTATCTCTCATCTCCATACTCTATCTCTCTCTTCTCCTTCTCTCTCTCTCTCTCTCTCCTGCTCCTCTCTCTTCTCCCCCTCTCTCTCTCTCTCTCTCTCATCTCCCCCCTTCGCTCGCGGAATTCTCGCCTCTCTCATCTTCCTCTCCCCCCATTTCTCTCTCTCTTTTCTCTCAATCCTCTTTCCCCCTCCATCTCTCTCTCTCTTCCCCCCATCTCTTCTCTCTTCTCGCCCCATCTCTCTCTCTCTCTTCTCTCTCTCTCTCTCTCTTCTCTCTCTCTCTCCTACTTCTCCTCTGTCTCCTCTCTCCATCTCTCTCATCTCTCTCCTCTCTCTCTCTCTCTCTCTCTCTCTCTCTCTCTCTCTCTCTCTCTCTCTCCTCTCTCTCTCCTCTCTCTCTCCTGCTCTCTCTCCTCTCTCTCTCCCTCCCTCTCGCCTCTCCCTCCGCCTCTCTCCTCCCCCTCTCTCCTCCGCCCTCTCTCCCTCCGCCTCTCTCCCTCCGCCCTCTCTCCCTTCTCTCCTGTCCCTCTCCCTCCCTCCCTCTCTCTCCCTCCCCCCTCTCCCTCTCTTCTCCCTCCCCCCTCTCTCTCCCCTCTCCTCCCCCCCTTCTCTCTCTCCCTCCCCCTCTCCTTCATCCCTCTCCTTCTCGCACACACACACACACACACAGTCACCTATCCACCTTCTCTCCGCATCCTCCATCCTCCTTCACAACATCCTCCGAGAAAAACCCGAGGCTCTACTCACGCTCCAAGGGACACTCCGGCTGCTATGAGAGGGACGTTCGGGTAGGTCGTCCTCAGGTGCTGCAGAGCCTCCTCCAGGTCGTCGCTGTTGGCCGCACAGTACGTCCTGGTCGTCTGGTCACAGGTCAAGGAGAGACAGTGAGGTTACGGTATCAAACTTATATTAACTATTGAATTACTGTTTTTACAAGTAGGTAAATTAGGTAAATGCGTTTGCTAAATTGCTATTGGTGTTTTTTATTTTATTAAGGTTACGGTATCAACCCTACATTAAGTTTTGAATTATTTTTTATACAAGTAGGTAAATTAGGTAAATGTGTTTGCTAAATTGCTATTGGTGTTTTTTTATTATTTTATTTATTCATTTTCATTTTTGTTTTGTTTTTTATAGCGTTTATTTCTGGTTTAGGTTTGAGGTAAAGTTGCATAACGAATATTAAGTGAGAAAACAAATGGCTAATCAAAGTTTATGTTATATAAGTTAGATAGGTGCATTGGAGTTACATATCATAAGATATTAGATTTGTGACTCATAAAAAAATCGAGATTGTCTTATACTTAATTATCTACTTTATTTTCTAACTCTTCTTCCAACTCCGTCTCTCCCATTCCCTCTCCCTCTCTCCCACTCCCTCTCCCTCTCTTTCTCCTTCCTCTCCCTCTCTCCCACTCCTATTCTCTATCCCTCTCCCTCTCTCCATTCTCCTCTTCCTCTCCTCCCACTCCCTCTCCCTCTCTCTCACTCCCCCCACTCCCTCTCCTCTCCAACCCCCACCCCCTCTCCTCTCTCCTCCTCCTCCTACCACACCATTCCCAATCTCACTCCCTTTAACACACACACACACACACACACGCCCTCTAACACTATCCGAGTACTATTCCATTCATAAAAACCTCACGTACGTTCCTCTGTCTAATTTCATTCATTCGTCCCACTGTCGTTCTCGCCTCTCATAGCTGGATTTATCTGCTTTTTTATCTTTTTTTTTTTGCTTATCTCTGGTCTTTTATTTTATCTGTGACGATAATATCAGTGGTGATAAGTGATGGTGATGATGATACTAGTAGTAATGATTATTATTATTATTTTTTTGTTATTATTATCTTTATTTTTATTATCATGGTTTTTATTATTATTATTATTATCATTATTATTATTATTAATATTATCGTTGTCATTATTATTACTCTTCTCACTCTCTCTCTCTCTCTCTCTCTCTCTCTCTCTCTCTCTCTCTCTCTCTCTCTCTCTCTCTCTCTCTCTCTCTCTCTCTCTCTCTCTCTCTCTCTCTCTCTCTCTCTTCCCTCTCTTCTCTCTCTTTCCTCTCCTCTCTCTCTCCTCTCTCCTCTCCCTCTCTCTCTCTCTCTTTCCTCTCCCTCTCTCTTCTCTCTTCCTCTTCCCTCTCTCTCTCTCCTCTCTTCTCTCTCTCTTCCTCTCCCTCTCTCTCTCTTCCTCTCCCTCTCTCTCTCCCTCTCTTCTCTCTCCTCTCCCTCTCTCGCTCTTCCTCTCTCCCTCTCTCTCTCTTCCTCTCCCTCTCTCTCTCTTCCTCTACCTTTTCTCTCTCTTCTCTCCCTCTCTCTCTTCCTCCCTCTCTCTCTCTCTATCTATCTGTCTATCTATCTATCTCTTCTTCCCTCTCTTCTCTCTCTCTCTCTCTCTCTCTTTTTATCTATTCTTTTTTCTTCTCCCTCTCCCCTCTCTCACCCCTCCCCTCCTCACCCCTCCCCTATCTTTCCCCCTTTCCTCTTCCTTCTTCCTCCCCTTCCCCCTCCCTCCCTCTCTCCTTTCCCCTCCCCCTCCCTCCCTCCCTTTCCCTTCCCTCCCTCCCCTCCCTCCATCCCTCCAATCTCCCTCCCTCCTTCCCTTCCCTCCCCCTCCCCTCCCCCTCCCCTCCCCTCCTCCCCCACCACCCACCCTCCCACCCTCACCTTCAGCTCGATCCCCGCCGTCCCCCTGTAGTTGAGGACGACGCAGCGGGCCCCCGTCTTGCTCCCGGTCAAGACGAGGCCCTTGATGTAGTCGCTCTGGGAGGACCCCGTCAGCCCCGGCAGGATAAGGATGATGGGGGAACTGACCTCCCCGGCGCCGTCCAACCAGTCGAGGCACACCTGGCCGCCGTCTCTTAGCTGGAGCACCTCTCTGGGGAAGGATGAAAAGGGGGGACGGGTTAGGTATGGGAAGGATGAGGAGGTGGGGGGGGGGATTGAGGGCGTGTGTGGGGTGATTGGGGGGGGGGAGTGTGTGGTTGGGGGGTGGGGCGTGCGTGTGTGGGTGGGGACGGGTGCGTGTGTGGAGGTGGGGGTCCGTTTGTGGGGGAATTGTGTGTGTGTAGGTGGATGGGGGAGTACGTGTGTATTTGTGTGCGTGTGTGCGTGTATGTGCATACGTGCGTTCGTGCGTGTGCGTGCGTGCGTGTGAATAATAGAGAAAAAATTATACAAAAAACAGACAGAAAGATATTAACACCCACTACATCCATAAACACATCCACAACAAAACACCCAACCGACTCAACCAAAAAAAAAAAGAAAAAAAAAAAATCCCACAAGCTACACCCTGCCACCCTTACACCCTACCCACCAGGAGCCCTAAGCCTACACCAAACAACCCTCCTTTCGCACCCACAGCCATCAGTGTCGCCAGTGCATTACACGAGGATGTAAAAGGACACAAACAAGACAAGATCGATAAACACCAGTACAGCTCTTCGTGATCTGGGGTGTCGTTAGGCTCTGCTAGGTGAGCTGGGTCGATGTGTGAGGGATATTGATCATATTATATATGTATGTATGTATATATATATTATATATAATATATATATATATATATATATATATATTATATTATATATGTATATTGTATATATGTATATATGTATGTGTGTGTGTGTGTGTGTGTTGTGTGTGTGTGTGTGTGTGTGTGTGTGTGTGTGTGTGTGTGTGTGTGTGTGTGTGTGTGTGTGTGTGTGTGTGTGTGTCTGTTGTGTGTGTGAACAGAGAGAAGAGAGACGAGAGAGATGAGAGGAGATGAGAGAGAGAGATCGAGGAGAGAGAGAGAGAGAGAGAGAGAGAGAGAGAGAGAGAGAGAGAGAGAAACAGAGAAATCGATAAATAGCGAGTGTGAGAGAGAATAAATACATACATACAAAAATACAGGTCATACACATTCAAAGGTGTCCAAAAAAAAAAAAAAAACGTTTATTGACCATCTTTTTCTCTCTCTCTTTTTTTTTTTTTTTTTTTTTTTTTTACATTTATCTACAACATAAACATCGATATGTTTACGTAAATACACTACAGTCATGAGCATGTTGTGCATTGATCATTAAGAACGTTTCCAATAGCAGAGAATAGCGATGTTTAATAATAGCAATGGGAGATGGTTAGGAAGAGGGAAATAGACTGAAAAAAACACGTCTAACAAACTGACAAACCAGGCAAGCCACCGTAAAGCGAATCCACAGTCAAGTCAAGCCAAGGCAAGCTACAGTTAAGTCCAGACAAGTCACAGTTAGGTTAAGGCAAGGCAAGACACAGCCAAGACAAGTCAAGCCACAGCAAGACACAGTCAAGGTCATACCACAGTCAAGACAAGTCAAGCCACAGTTAAGTCAAGCCAAGTCACAGTCAAGGCAAGCCACAGTCAAGCCAAGCCAAACCACAGTAAGCCAAGCCAAACCACAGTAAGCCAAGCCAAGTCATAGTCAAGCCAACCCAAGAAAAGTCACAAACCACAGCCATTCCACAGCCAAGCCAAGCCACAATCAACCCAACCCAAGCCAAGTCACAAGCTACAGCCAAGCCAAGCCAAGCCAAGCCACAATCCACATCCAACCCAAGCCACAACAACACCCCGTACAGACGCGGTTGCCTATCGACTGATACCTTTAACAAGAGCATTGGCGACCGGCCAGAACACGACCAGGGAAATGTTCTAATCCAGTTATCAGAAAAGGGAATCGTAGAACAAACAACAAATCGTAGAATAAACAACAAAAAGAGATGACGTGGCGTTTTCGTCAAGACTGGATTGGCAAGCAGATTTGAACGGCCGTTGTTTATGCGATTAAGCGGATTAACACTAAAGGGGTATGCTGTCCAGTGTTGGCGGCTTATGCAATAAAAGGTTGTTTTTTGAATCTAATAACGGTCTTATAATACCTGTTCAATTTTTGCCTTGTATATCGGTAATATATTTAATCTGTTAACAATACGAAGAAATAGTGAAGTAACAGAGAGGATAACTTAGAGAAAACAAGTAGTTGGAGTAATGTTATATATTCAGAATGTCAGTTTTTTAGGATAATCAAGGATCTCTGTCTTTCTCTCTCTCCCTCTCTCTCTATCTCCCTCTCCCTCTCTGTCTGTCTGTCTGTCTGCCAGTCTCTGTCTCTCTCTCTCTCTCTCTCTCTCTCTCTCTCTCTCTCTCTCTCTCTCTCCCCTCTCTCTCTCTCTTCTCTCTCTCTCTCTCTCTCTCTCTCTCTCTCTCCTCTCTCCTCTCCTCTCTCTCTCTCTCTCTCTCTCTCTCTCTCTCCCTCCCTCCCTCCCCTCTCCCTCCCTCCCTCCCTCCCTCCCTCCCTCCCCTCCCTTCCCTCTCTCTCTCTCTCTATCTATCTCTCACTGGGCTGGCGTTTGCAGACATCCTAAATAAACAGTTACATTTGACGAACGTTTGAAAATCTAAGCTACGAGGCTAAGACATTTGAATTATAGTCAAACAAATTAAATGTATTCAAAGAGTGATACCTGAATGGACAGCGCCATCTTGGATTTGTCGCAAGCTCCATATTTCGAATATTTCAAGACAATACGAGTAGTTACAGAGTAGCAAATATGACAGTTATTAGTAACAATGACCAAAAAAAAAAAAAAATTATATACATCCCATACAGCATTTATTAAAACACCAAATTAAGGTTTAAAAAAATCCAGATAATCATTTCTTCCATAATCCTCGCAGAACGCAAGTCACGTGACTGCTACATGACTCCCATTATTCTCGAATAAACTACGAAAACAATGGGTAGAAATTACTGATGAAACAGAAACTACGGTCTGGTTTAACCTCACTCATCGAAACCAGTATTACCATTATAAAACAAAACCTTATTACATCCATTTTTTTACGTTTATTAGAAGAGGAATTGCTAATCCTAGATTCTCTGGGGCTCTTCCTTTTACTAAGTAATATCTTTGTACTGTTGTTATTATCCTTATCATTACTGTTATTATTCCTACTATTATTATCCTCATCATTACTGTTACTATTATTATTACTATTATTATAATTATAATTATAATCATTGTTATCATTATTTCTATTATTATCATTATCATTATAACTATTTATCATTACTGTTATTATTCCAACTATTATTATCCTCATCATTATTACTATTATTATTACTATTATCATCATTATAATTATAATCATTCTTATTATTATTACTATTATCATCATCATTACTATAACTATCATCATCAATCAACACCATCACCATCAGAATCACCATCACCATCACTTTCCCCAACACAACCCCCCACCCCACCCCCACCCCACCACCCCCCACCCCCTTCTCCTCCTCCTTCCTCCAGCCCCGAAAACTCGTGGGAGTCACGTCCAACGAAACAAAAATAATAATCAAAAAAAAAAACCGGAGACGTTATAAACCGCGTGAAATAAATGTCATTTGTTGTCCTTGTCTTTCGATCGGTGGCGCGAGACTGCGAGCTTCTCACCGAGCACTAATACGGCCTTTGTTAAAATTTGTGTGAGGCCTGACACAATATATATTCGTCATATTATATATATATATATATATATATATATATATATATATATATAATGTATATATAATATATGTATATGTGTGTGATGTAAGTGTGTGTGTATTGTTTGTGTGTGTGTGTGTGTTGTGTGTGTGTGTGTGTGTGTGTGTGTGTGTGTGTGTGTGTGTGTGTGTGTGTAGTGTGTGGTGTGTAAGTGTGTGCTGTGTAAGTGTGTGTGTGTAAGTGTGTGTGTGTGTAAGTGTCATGCTGGTGTATCGTGTGTGTGTGTGTGTTGTGTGTCTGTGTGTGTGTGTGTGTGTTGTGTGGTGTGTGTGTGAAGTGTGTGTTGTGTGTGTGTGTGTGTGTGTGTGTGTGTGTGTGTGTGTGTGTGCTGTGTGTGTGTGTGTGTGTGTGTGTGTGTTGTGTGTGGTGGTTCGTTTATGTGATTACCAGTGCCATTATTATCATTATTATTACTTTTTCATTGTTGTTATCATTATCATTGGTATTATATTATTTCTACTTTGTTATTAATACTATTACTGTTATTGTTATTGTTTTGTTATTTATTCTTCGTTTATCATTATTGGTAGTAGTAGTATCATTATCATTATAATTATTACAATTATTTTTATCATCATCATTATAATGATAATAATAATAATATCAGTTACCAATATTATTATTTGATCATTTTCCTTACAACTGTCATTGCTATAATTACTACAATTAATCTAAATATCATTATTATCATTATGATTATCATTAACATAATTATCATGGTTTTAACATTATCATTATCAGTATTATAATCATTGATATTCTCAAAATCCTTATGATTATGGCTATCATCACAATTTCTATTATCATCTTTACTGCCACTCTCACCATTCGCCCATTTCTAAATGTATTAACAAATCACAACTCTGCTCCGAGGTAAATGCACAAATGTCTGCGGATATTGCACGCCACGTTTCACTTTCCGAAAGCTGAAAGGGCTGGAAGTTTACATATACGGTTTGTGCATGGAAAAGTGTATGGCAGTATGTATACACGCACGCATACACCACGCACCGCACGCACGCACGCACGCACGCGCGCACAAACACACCACACACACACACACACACACACACACACACACACACACACACACACACACACACACACACAACACACACACACACACAATATATATATATATATATATATTATATATATATGCATGTGTGTGTGTATGATGTATGTATATACAGTATATACATATAGATTATGTTTCAAAAATAAATAAAAATCAAATAAAATAATATATCACATAAATGTATGTTGTGTAGTATATATTATACATATGTATATATATACATATGTATATAAATACATAGAGAGAGAGAGAGAGAGAGAGAGAGAGAGAGAGAGAGAGAGAGAGAGAGAGAGAGAAAGACGAGAGAGAGAGAGAGAGAAAGAGAGAGAGAAGAGAGACAGACAAACAGAGAGAGAGAGAGAAGATTGTAAGGAACAGAGACAGAGTCACCTATAAAAAAGCAGAGAGACAGAGGAGAGATATACAATTAAGAGGCAAAAAATGACATGTTAACAAAACAAAAAACAGATTCGAAGGCAGAAAGTCGGTTCGCCTGGCCAACCACTCACTTTCTGTAGGTGACGCGAGGCAGCAGTCTATAACGCAGGATTGACGCCAAGACTGTCTGGAGGCGGGATTCCAGGCACCAGGGAGTCGGCCAGTACCTCTCCTGCAGGATGACCAGGTTCTCCTCCAGGAAGTCCCTCCAGGCGCTGTCACGTGATGCCACCAAGGGGCGCTGGGGGCATGAGGAAGGATGAGAAAGTCGTGAGTTTGGTTGTGGGGTAAAATGTGACGCGTTTGTGTGGTTAGTGTTTCCCGGTACCGCTAGAGGGATGGGAGGATTGAAAGGGTGAGATAAAAATTAGGGATAAAGTTTGGAAAAAGGATAAAGATGGAAGACCAGAGAAATGTGGGAAAATATATAAATCGTAAGAAAGAGAGAAACGTGTGAAGGAAAAGGAGAAGAAGAGAAAGAGGCAGTAGAAGTAGAAATAGGTGAAAAGAAAAGGAAGAAGCAGACGACGGAAAAAAGAGAAAGAAAAAAAAGTATAGGAAAAATAATAAAATAGAAAAAGGGAAACAAAGATATCCAAAATATACAAAATAGAAAATATACAAAATAACAAACAGAAAAAAAAATATTCCATCACCAATCAAAAAATAATAACGATAACAAATCTCTCCATAACTATAAACATAATAGAAATTTTGAATCTTACGCATTTCCCGCCAAGAAGAGGGGAGTCTGGGAGTGATTCTGAGCAAAACAAATATTTTGGCTCAAGACCAACTGACCTGAGGGATCGATAGGAGAAAGCATAGGCCTACTTCTCCCGCTTGTGTTTTTTTTTTTCTCTCTCGCTCGGTCTATCTGTTTGTGTCGGTCGGTCGGTCGGTCGGTCGGTCCGGTCTCTCTCTCTCTCTCTCTCTCTCTCTCTCTCTCTCTCTCTCTCTCTCTCTCTCTCTCTCTATCTATCTATCTCTCTCTCAGTCTATCTGTCTGTCTTTCTCGGTCTCTCTCTCTCTCTCTCTCACTCGGTCTATCTGTCGCTCTCTCTCCCTCTCTCTCGGCCTCGCTCTGCCTGTCTGTTTTTCTCTCTTTTTTACTTCCTTTCTCTTCCTCTATCTCTTTCTCTCTCTTCTCGCCTCAGTCTATCTGCCTCTCTCTTCTCTCTCTCTCTCTCTCTCTCTCTCTCTCTCTCTCTCTCTCTCTCACACACACACCACACACACACACACAACACACACACACACACACACACACACACACACACACACACACACAACACACCACACACATACAAACACACACACAAACGCTTACACACACAAGACACACACACACACACAAACATAAACACAAACACATGCATGCACACACATACACGCATACAAACATACACACACGCACACGCAAATACACACACACATGCACAATCGCACGTGTGTGTGTTGTGTTGTGTGTGTGTGTGTGTGTGTGTGTGTGTGTGTGTGTGTGTGTGTTGTGTGTGTGGTGTGGTGTGTGTGTGTGTGTGTGTATTTATGTAATGTAATGTATGTATGTATGTATGTATGGTATTGTTGTAAATGATAGTATGTACGTATGTATGTATATCGTATATCTGATATGATATTTGGTCTAGTGATAAGATAAATTTTCATTGTAAATCAAAATGTTGGCCCAAACACTCTCGATGCTGTCGCGATCCTAAACTTGATCAATGCAGAGACGAGCATGCCGTGGCAGAATACACCAGGCTAGACAACGAGAAGCTCAGAGAGCGCATACCTCCGCACGGCCAAGAGCAGGTAGTTCTGACGGTAGAGTAGAAATAGAAGAAGGAACGTGGAGAAGGAGGAGGGAGCCACCTACCAGGCTAGGCCGAGGAGGAAAGCCGCCGAGGGGAGTGACGAAGGAAGGAGGCCAGCGAGATCCGGCAGCAGAGAGAGGGAAGATTAGAGTTAGAACGAAGCAGAGAAGAAGAAGAAAAAAGAAGTGAAGAAGGGAGGAGGCTGGGGGGATGGAGAGAGAGGGAATCAAGGATCCGCGAGGATAGGAGGAGCGAGGGAGAGAGGGACAAAAAGTGGGTACGAAGAGAGGACGATACATGAGCAACAGGGGCATGCGCAGATGTAGAGGAAGGGACAAAGGAGAAGGAGAACGAGTGTAATATAGAAGGAAGGAAGAAGAGAGGAAGAAGAAGAAAATGGAAGAAGAAAAAAAGAGAAGACGGAAGAAAGACGAGGCGGAAAGAGTAGGAAAGTAGGAAGTAAAGAGAGGAAGTATGTGGCCAGAAGGAAGAAAGGCAGAAGGAGATACTCAGAAGAGGAATTGCCAGAGAAGAAGGGAAGAAAGGCAAAATAGGAAAGAAGGAGTTAGAATACATGGAATCAACATTAGCATAAACAGTATCATGGAACAATAAGACTTACAAAATATGAATAGGCATCAAAACATAAGCTAAGAGCGGCAAAAAGGACATAGTAAAAAGAGATAATCTATACTGTCTTTATTCCCTTCTTATCGCCTTTTGTTTTTTCACAATTAATTCCTTCCATCATTCGTACAGACCAAAGGAGTTTCGTATTCTTTGTTTACTCTAAGTAGATCAGGGTGCAAGCGCGGCCACAGCACGCACAGAGAGAGAGAGAAGAGAG